TTTGGTTTTTTTTTTTGTCAAAGGACAATAAGCTTCATGATAATTAGTTAACTTTACTTTTTAGTTATTTAATATTTTTCCTTTTTTATTTTTTGTGGTAGTAAAGTCTTTATTTCCTTTATATTTACATACTAATCCTGGTTTCCCCTCTCTCTCTTCCTCCCATTCCCTCCACCTTCCCCTCACCCCACCTCCCCTTCTGTTCCTCAGAGAAGGTAGGCAGGACCAAGGTCCTTCCCCCTAAGTCTAGCTTGAGCAAAGTATCTTCCCATAGGAAATGGGTTCCCAAAAGCCAGTTCATTCATTAGGGGTAGATTTTTATCCCAATGCCAGTAGCCCTACAAACTGCCCACGGCACCTACTGTCACCTGCATTCGGGGGGTCCAGTTCAGTTGTATGCAGGTTCCCCAGATGTCAGTCCAGATTCAGCGAGTTCCCACTAGCTCAAAATGGTTAGATTTGTTGCTGTTGTTTGTTTGCTTGCTTTTTGTTTCTCTTTAGAGCCTGTCCTGGAACAGGCTCTGTAGACCAGGCTACCCTTGAACTCACAGAGATCCGCCTGCCTCTGCTGCCCAGTACTGGGATTAAAGGTGTGCACCACAACTGCCCAACAATTTAATATTTTATTCTATAAAGTAGAAGAAATGTTCTGATGCTTCAGCAGTAGTTGTGCTTGTAGGTGAACCAAAGTTAAAAATAGTAATATATATATTTCTGAATTATCTTCTTATAAAGCAAGGACAGGGAGACAGAACACTGGGAATGTTAGTTAACAACAGATTATAGCAAGTTACTTCTTTTGTGTGAGGATTAAAACAGAGAGAACTTAGTTATCATGAAGTGAAGATTATTTTTTGGGGGGAAATTTGGCCATCATCGTGGTAATTCTGATTTTTCAGGAGCTCATGCAAACAGCTGACTATCTGCTTGGTCCCGTGGAGCTGAGCATGGATGATTCTACCTTTATTTTTAACCTAAACCTTTGGAGCACAGTGTAGAAGCTTAGTCTAAAAAAATGACTCCCTTAAGTTTTGTTTAATAATTTATCTAGAACTGGGGGATAATTTTTGCATCACCTTTCCACTTAAAATCGTATCATTTTTGTTTTGTAACAAAAGGAATTTGATTGCAAAATTATTTTGTAAATGCAAACACATTAATAGACCAATTGGATATTATGAGTCTGTTGCTTTACCAAACTTTCAAATAGTCAAATATGTGTATTTGTGCATGAATGTACCCATATGCTCACACATACAGAGAGAGAGAGAGAGAGAGAGAGAGAGAGAGAGAGAGAGAGAGAGAGAGAGAGAGAGAGAATGGAATGAAGTGTGATAAGTTAATTACATCAAGGGCTCCTAGATTTTGACCTTTATTAATCCCTATGTTTCCCAACACATAAGGCAAACACAATCCTTGTTAATTTGGTGGTCTCATGCTTGAGTGCTCTCAAGGGCATGGTTACTCTATTTAATGTGATATCTTTTTGAATCACAATTTATCATTATAATTCAATTAGATTTTATATTTCTGAAAGCTGAGAAATATAATTCTACATAGGGTATAGTGATATAGTCACTAAAAAGCATCTTTGATATTGATAGGAACAACTGACTCATTATAAACAAGACAGGAAGCAATACAAAATCTATACACTATAAAAAAATCAATTCTTCATTCCAACTGCATTCTAAAGTTTCTACACACAAATTTGCATCTTAACCAGCAAAGCTTTGTGAATCCCCCAGTGCGTTACCAGTTGAAAAGGCTTCACTGGCTACAGTGCTGAGGGCTCTGGTTTTGAATGTGAACTAAACCATGCCTTTTTTTCAGCATTCCTCACACTGAAAAACATTATAGACAGTGCATGGCCAGAGCACGGTTTATCCTCTATGGCTAGCAACTTTTCTGGTGGTGTTACTCCCAGTGACATGCAGAAAGTTTAACCATAAAAAAATTAATAAAACAATAGATAAGGTTACCATCATGCTTTAAGTGTGTGTTAAAATTCTTATCGCTCGCTGACTTTGCAAATATTGCCTTGGTACTGTGGCTCGTGTTGCTGATGCACGCTAAATAAAGCACAGCTCCGTCAAATCCAGGAGAGTTGAGAGAAAGGTATTCATCGTCTGAGATGGAACTGTCAGGCACAAACTCATCAGAGCCTTCAGAAATGACACTCTACTTTTCTAGGACTCCAAAAAAGCCAGCATTAAGAGAAATAAGAAGAGTTCTTGTGGTTTATTCTTGGTTGTGCTCAAGAAATCCGCAAACGGGGTGAAGTTCTGGGACCACTGAATGTCTGAGTTGCTGTTCATTTGAAGAGCTCTCAAAGATAGACACTGGCAAAGATGTCGAGCATCTCAATGAATGAGTCACAATACTGTGAAGAACTGTATTTAATATATCTGGTAAAAACTTCGAGAGTTTGTGGTAGAAACATTCAAAGTAGTTTTCCCTTACTTACATGGCTTTAACCAATCACATCAACAATATTCAGGGCAAATGTGGTTGTACTCTGTACTCACGGCCTCTTTCCTTGTCATTGTGCCATAAACATAACTGTAACATGTAGATGACAGATAATAGTAAAAACATGATAGGTAGATAGATGATAAATAGAGGATGGATGGATGGATGGACGAACTTAGTACTAGGTACTGTGATTTAAAGTTGATTGTAAGTACAACACAGGAAGTGCATAGGTTATAGGCAAACTTGACAGTAGTTTAAATAAAGAACTTGATCTTTCATGTACTTTGGTATGTTCTGTTAGTCTCAAATGAAACTCCTTGGAAACCAATAAATAAATGTAATTCTTCCACACCAGACTGTACTAAAGGACAAGAGACAGTTAAGACACTCAATGCATCATTGCTTGATGTAGCAAAGTCTGGCATTTCTCGTGCATATGGAAAACCTAGATATATCTATATTTGACCCTCCTGGAAAGTATCCCACCAAGGGAGGAGGCAGTTCCATCAATGGGAGAACTGGGGAGAAAGAGGAAAATGGATAGTGATGATGAGTTAGGTCTAAGTATCGTCCTAGAGACATTGATTCATAGACTGAACCGCTGAGTGACATTTTTGAGCTCCTCTGATGCCATGTCTCAGTTCTCCACATCTCTTCTCTGCCCTCACCTGTATGTTGCTGTGCTTTTCTGTTTGTGTGTCCCACAGGCACCATCTAGTCTACAGAAAAATCTTTATCCAGTGGGAATAAAGCCTGGAGCACATTTCAGGAGACAGTTATCTTAGGGTTGTGCAAGTTACTCCTTAAACTTTGTCCTTGGGCCACAAGTTTTCATTGCCCCCAGCAGGCATCAGCAGGTATCAGCAGGCGAGAAGAAACAGCACACCTAGGCAAACTTATACCCCATCCCTTAAGCTCTTCAGGGACTTGACCAACTTCAACAACTAACACTTTATTGGGGAACTTACAAACTTGTGTATTAGCTACTTCTCATTTTATAAACCTAGGCCTGAGCTTCCAAGAAAAATATCCTCCCATATCCTCTTACATGTGAAACAATAGAGTTGACTTCCACATTTGACTACTGTAAATATCTCTGTGAATTATCTTAGGTACATAGTATTTTATTTCATTAAATTATTCTGTAAATCAAAAAGAATATACTTGCTAGTAAAATTACATGAAAATTGTGGGAATAAGTTGCATACTGAGAAGTTTTTTAAACTTTAATTTATACTTTTGTTTATTTTCCTAAAGCCTAGTATGCATACATGTGCTTGATTTTTGTTTTTGTTTTTAAAGCAAAGAATCTTACTGTTGTTTAATGAGCTAACCCCATTAGCTAGGGCCCTTCATCTGTACATCTCTCATCTCAGCAAATGCCTAGAGAAGGACCCCTAGAAACTGCTAGGCAGGGACCTTATAGGGCAGCATAAGGGGGTTGTCTAGGAGTACGCAATGGTCACGGGTTGGTGTGCTTCCGGGATTGGACGACCTGTCCTGTGTTGATTGGTCAACTGGTTGCTTTGGCCTATAGGCCCTCCCAGGGCAGTTTCTATGCTCTGCACCTATCTGTTGTGTGCTTGTACCATAAAGCACACCCAGAGCCGTAAAACACAGCCCAGCTAGCTAACTTCTGATTTCTTCCTTGCCACGAGGAGGGGATCTGACCTCCTAGTGACCAGGGCAGGAGGGGAAAATTCAGGCAAATGCGCCTGAATTTTTAATCTAACTACTACAATATGTTATGATTGCTTGGGTTGGTTCTTGAATATTGGTATATTTATGCCAGTAGTAGTATGTTTTGCTATTTTATAAGCAAAATTAAGCCTGTTTGTGTAGACCTTCTACATTCATGTGAAAAGGCTAGAAGAATTTAATTATTATAATCATGTAAATTATCCTCCCATTCATTTTCTCTTCTTTTTCAGCCATTCAGAAGTATCATCATGCTTCAATTTCTTTTTAAAATTAGTATTAAATGTACATTATTACTATCCCATTTTCTCCCCCTTCCAATTCTTCTCAACTTCATGGTTTCTTCATATGTATAAAATTTCTTATATATATGCATATACATATACATATATATAATCTGCTGAATCTATGCATCTATTTAGGTGGTCTTCCTATGTATATGTGCTTAGGAATGATCACTTGGGATTGGATAACCTATTTAAGAATGACTAAGATTTATAGACTTGCAAAGCTGTGGTACTTGTTATCCTACTTTGGTTTGGTGAAGTTTGTTCACATATTAACTCAGGTTACTTTAAATTTAACTCAAATTATAGTAAGTGTGACTAAGTCAAAATTTATTGTAAGCATTTATTATGATTATTGTAAGCAATCAACCAGTTGTCCTACTATTGGAGATAATATCCATGATTCTTTCTGGTTATTTTTTTACCTCTCAATGATTCATTTTAAAGGGTATTTATTAGTGAGAAAGAAGAATGGACAACAATTTATTGTGAGTGGGAAATTTTAAAAAAATAAAGGAAAGCGTTTTTGTTTGATTTTAGGGGCAGCTGAGTTGAAATGGAATTGTACTATAAACAGATCACTAACTTCTCACAAGATCATGAAGTGAAGTGAGAATGAAAACCAAAATCTGAACCCATCACCCCACGGTAAGCATTATTAGAACTAAACCAGGAAGAAACAAAAATAAACTAAGAATTAGTGAAAAATGAAAAAATGCAATATAATGGATCAAGAAACTTAAACAAAGTGTTGAGGAAGGGATGGAGGTGGTGTGAGTCCTGCTCATGGTGACAAACAATGCTCTTCAATAACAAGCTCTGTTAAAACAAAATAATATAAATACTTTATTCTGAGCCTCATATGAGTGACAAAATATTTAAGTTGCATTGAATGATACCTTCCACCTTGGAAGATGTTCTTCGAACTTATAAAAAAATAAAAATCACACAACAAAACAAAGTCATAATCCCATGTTTTATCAATCACATGGGTAGAAGCCTCTGCTCGGCAGGGGGCTACAAGATAGGAGTCTCCTTTCTGGGTCTCGGAAGCAGTGGCTGATTGCACTCTGACTTAGGGTCGACGGAACTTAGAGGTTGTCTGGACTTAGTGATACATTTCAGGGAGTTTACACAATATTCACAAGAATGTTAAACCAGACTCAAAAGTTAACATACACAGATCATTTTTAATCTGCACTCTCAACATTTCTTCTCTTCATAGCCATGGTGTTCTGCTTATTCAAAGTTATTCAGTCTGTAGGGTCTTTGATACAAATGCCAGAGGCTGGAGATGAAGTTCAGTTATTGAGTATTTTCCCAGGATGTAAAGACACTGGATTCTATCCCAAACACAGGCAAAGAAAGCAAAACCAGATAAACAAGTCCTTACATTTAAAAAGTTACAAAGTGGGGTCCAGAGACCGCCCAGCAGTCTAGAGTGCTTGCTGCTTTAATAGAATACAAGAATGCAGCCTCCAGGACCCACATCAGATGGTTCACAACTGCCTGTAACTCCAGACCTGGCATTATTAGAGGCCGTCACAAACACCTGCACAAATGTGGCACACACACACACACTTAAAAATAATTCTTAAGAGAGTTTTTAATAATAGATTAAAATATGCTTCATGTAAGAATGGTGGCTAGGCAGGGCGGTGGTGGTGCACGCCTTTAATCCCAGCACTCAGGAGGCAGAGGCAGGCGGATCTCTGTGAGTTCGAGGCCGGGCTGGACCAATAAGCCTCCAAAACAATACAGAGAAACCCTGCCTCGTAAAAACAAAAAAAAGAGAGAGAGAGAGAGAGAATGGTGGCTAATATCTGTAACCCCAAGTCTTGGGAAGCTGAGACAAGAGGATTCCCTTGAGTTTAAAACCAGCTGGGGTTACAAGAGTCCAGGCAAGCCTGCTCTGCAGAGGAAAGTCCTGCCTCCAAAAGAAAGAAGATGATGATGTAGATGGAACTCCTTCCAAGAAATGCAGGTTCCTGTTCATCAATGTCAGTAATCTTTAACAGCGAACAGAAACATGTCAACAGGAACCTACTAGAAGACAATGGGAAAAAATGGAAATGTGGCTATGGGAACATTTGGGTCAGTGTACATAAACTAAAGAACGTGCATATTTCATGAAATGTTTATAAATGAAAGTGGCATAGCATACTGTGTGAGGAAGCTAGCCTACAGAATTTTAAATTTAAGAGTCCCATCAACAATAGCCATAATTTAGAAAATCTAATTTGTCAGTACTTCAAAAGACAATAGTTAGCCTTGATAGAATGAAAACTGAAGTATAGCTCATATCTTCACAGGACTTATCAGAGTACTATGTTAAACACAACCATTTCATGTGTTGCTCATGGTACACACTGTTAAGGATACGATTCATAGCATATCTGTGTGATTTGCGGCCATTCTGACCTGTTTACATTACTTGTGATCTATATGTGCATAAGAAGTCTAGTTGTATAGTACCTCCTTAGCTTGCAAAAACAGGTTAAAACTGTTCTTACTCAGGTATCAAAACAGTTCTCTTTGACCCCTGCTGAATAATGTCACTCAAATCAAATTAGCTTTTCAGTGTATGTTGTATTTATTAGCAAAATGGCGAAGATAATATTTACCACATGGAGTTGTTTGGATTCGTTGAGTATTGCTTTGTAAAGGAAGGTTTATGTATGTGTATATTGCTATTATTTATTCATTGTTGTTGTTGTTGTTTGAGACAAGATCTCACCATATAGCTCAGGATAGCCTGGAACTCAGTATGTCACTTCACCTAGGCTGACCTAGGGATTGGGATTAGAGTTTGTGCCACCACATCCAGATTTATTCACATTTTTATTTTTTTAAAGTAGTGCTTTCTAATCAAAGGGTCACAGATGAGCCTGGTTAAAATAAATGTAAAACAAAAGAAAACCAAAATTATGAAGTGGTTGGTCATGATGGATAGGAGAGAAGAGTGGGTGAAGGAGAGAGTAACCAGAATATATTACATACGTGTTTGAAATTGTCAAATAACAAAATGTAATCAATAAAAACAGTGTAGCCTTAGAATAACTGTGCTGCTATCCTGTCAGGGTGGTCGAATGGTCTAAGGCACCAGACTTAAGCTCAACTTCCTAGAATAATTGTGCTATCCTATACATAGTTTAACGTATGCTATATAATGAAAGCTGACATTCCAGTTAAGTGATGTTTACCCAAGTGCATGTCTATGTTATGCTGCCTGTGACAAATGTCTCCAACAGCTTCCGCTGTCATAGGTCTCTATATTATATTTGGAGAAGCCGAGTAGTTCTCATTCTCCCTGGAATTGTTTAAAGACGGTTTTTGTAGTGTGTTGCTCCTCACTGTGGCAGAAAACGTTATTTCTGACTCCAGACTCTTCTGTGCAGTCGAAGTCTCAGCTTGCTCATTTCCGAAGACTTCTGCATGTTGGACACTTCAGTTCATCTTCCACTCTGTCCCCTTATTCTCCACTCTGAACTTTTCCTAATTAGACTAAAAAACAAAAATGGAGAAGTCCATGAGACTTATACCCCCAATCCTTGACATGGCAAAACTTCTGAATTTAGAAATCAAACTATGCAGTTTCTTTTGTATGTCTAAGCAACACATCAAAATAAATATGTACCAAATCAACTTCTCCATCTTCCAACTGTCTCCTGCCCAAATGTAGGCACAAAGTTTACTACCTGTTTCGCGGTTCCTGTTGGTGCTGCACCAGAGCACATTCCTCATCATCTTTATAAAATGCCTAACGGGGTCTCTGGCCCCTATTTCAATTCCGTCTCATAAAACATGCGTTTCCTTGGAGAACACATCCCTCTAATAAATCATATTTATCTTTTAATCTACAATCATTCTCTTGCTAATAAGGAATTGGTTTTGGTTTTTCAGAGCCACATCTAGGTCAGTGTAACTATACATAGAAAACACTCAAAAGTAGTGGAAATGAATGAATGTATAGCTTTCATAAAATTCCAGAAACAGGTCTGGAATCTTGGGAATCAGACTGGCAGCTGTGTGTGACCATCAGTATCCTAGCCGAGGAAATGGATACAAGTGTGTTTTTGTAAACAGATTCTTTGTTTGTAAAATACATTCTTTGTCCTTGTTTTCCACTACAACTAGTCTGTTATATTGATTTAAATAAGCTATTTTGCTTGTTGTCAACTAAAGTTAGCTGTATAGGAATAAACGCTTTGGTCAGCCATGCAAGGTAGTGCCTTTGTTTCCCTTTTGTGCTACTCATCTCTTACTACCCTTCTGAAATCTTACGCTTGGAAATAATTTTTCCTTCCTCCCACAGTGGAACAATGGTGTTCCGACCTATGATAGTTAAAATAATAAGTATCGTTATGTCAACTTACTTTAAATTGTGTCATATCAAGAGCGGGTTAAAAAAAATCTGTCACAATAGATAGACTATCGCCTCTGATTTGTTACGACAAATCAGAGGCAATAGGCATGACAAATGGACTCTACGGTGTGGTTTTCCTATCTCACTGGAAAAGTAGAATATCTTTCAGAACTTAAAATGCTATTTGATATATTTAAATGATCTTCAATTATAATCCTCACAGATGATCATCAATTTGTAGCCCAACCTTTTCTAGGCCCTACAATAAATTAATGACAAAAAAATGAGTGTACTATCGTAATATTTGTGGCACCTCCCTACTGCATCTAATAGTTATTAAAATGCATCTCATTATTTCTAGTTGAGATTTAATCTCATGGAAGTTGCTCCTCCTCTTATATTTTCTATGCTTTTGACAGCTCCTCCTTGCATCCATCCTTTCATGCCGGAAGAGTCACTCCTTAATGCCTGCTTTGCTTTATGTCATATATCAAATGAGTCACTGTGTGCTCTCAGTATTGCATACAGAATGTCTCTGGCATCTAATCTCCTTGCTTTAGAATCATAGCCTCATTTGCAGGATGAGGAGCTTTAGCCTCAAAGAGGTACAGTGACTTGGTGTCTGACTGCATGTTCCTCTGACATAAAGCCAGAGAGGGGTCAACCCAGAGCCAGGTCCCAACACCTTGCCTCTGCAAAGTGGTAGGAACTGGGAGTGGTCATCTTACTGCTGTATACTGGGCCACAGAGAAGCCACTTGTGCTAAGAGATGTAAGCAAAAGAGAACCGGTTTTGACAATGGGCAGGCATAGCTTCCATCCCATTCTTGTTTGTTCCAGTGGCATGACACCCTGGGGTGGGGTGACTTTGAGGTGATAATTCAAAAGGCATGGAGTGGTGGTGGAGACCAAATGAGGTCATATGTCCTAAAAGGTACTAGCTGACCTGTTTGGATGCTCACCAGAACATACTGTCTTTCTCACATCTCTCTAGGCACCATCAAATGCAACTCAGAACCATGCATGCTCTCTTAGTCCTCTGGCATTACCATTGTGCAGTACCAGGAGTTCCTTTTTTCTCAAACAGTACAGGGAAACATGGGTAAGGCATTATGCTGTGCCTTAGGGTATCTGTTTGCCTCTATGGTTCTCCAGATCTGAATTCTCCAATATTGTAGACTGTTTTATTTTATTTTTAATCAACAAATCCCCATGAGTTATAACTAAAACTAAAGACTTGTTTCTTACTTACCTTTCCCCTCTGCCCTCTCATTCTTTTGTTA